CGTACCGGTCTGCTCGGTTCGAGCTCGAGCTCGTCTTTTGACGAGTCCGAGCAGCTCGTGGGCATGAATAGTACGAGCCGAGCCGACGAGCCGCTCGGCTCGATTGACATCTCTAGGTATAGTGCCCATTACCCCCAATAATTAGTTTTTGTAATTGTTTTCCCAAGACTTCTCTGAATTTTTGATTCAATGACTTCAAATGTAGCAAGTTTGGAACTAAATGGAGTAAATATGCTTCATGAGGAGTTTGGCTTATCAACACCTACGAAAATCCCAACTTTCTCTCCAGTTTTCTCCAAATGAGTGTAAATATACCCAATAATTCGTCTTTACTAATTTTAATGACGTGTTGGTGTGTTTCAACTTCATTATTATTATTTTTTTAATTTTTGCTTGTGGATGAATCTTTAGTAATTTACTTCCAACAAATACATTATGGTGGCGATGGTGCCTCTACGTTGGAAGCGTAGGCGGCATAGGAAAGAGGGGGATCCTTAATTTATCGTGATTAATTTTCAATTCATGAAACCACCAGATTAAGAAACAAAAATAAAATAAAATCATGGAATAACACCATATAGTATAAATACATTTACCATGAGGCAAAGAAAATTATCTTTGCTATAATGGAAGAAAGCAAAAGTCACAATCGACGGAAAAGTTATGCACAATTAGATGTTGAAAAAAAAAGGAGAAAAAAATTAAGATTTTTGTCTGTGGCGGAACAATAATTTATTTTAGGCTAATTATATATTAAACTCTAATTATGTAATTTTATTTAAGGCTATTTAAATAAATAAGAAAAATAAAATTAAAATTAAAATTTGTAGTGCTTTGATATTTGCTAACCTTCATCGTGTTTTGAACACATCTTCAAGGAATTGGGAGGGGCACGAAATATATAGACGATGTCATCTTGATGTTATAAACTTGTTAAANNNATCTTGATGTTATAAACTTGTTAAATTATCAAATTTACAAGAATAATGTTATTTATCTTTATTGGGGATGATGACCATCATATTATGCCCCTATTTGGTGAGATTAAAATCACATTTTTGGTAGATTTTAATATATATAAATTTATGAAATGTATGGTTGGAAAATTGTGAATCCCATGAAATATGTTATTAAAATTAATCGTTGACTTTAATTTAGATAAAATTTTGAATTTTAATCCATACCAAACATGGCTCTGTGACAATATTAATGATAAGGGCAAGATCTATTTTATGCTTTTAATTGAACTTTACCATTTTATATCCCACACAATCCGTCACCAGAGGTGACCCCTTGGGTAGAAATGGCATTATTCAATTTTCTGTAACTACAAAAATAATGAAAAGGGTCGATTTAATTGATGAAAAATAT